CTTCACTCTGAGCCTACTACAGTCTGAGTCACTACCCATCTTATAACGTACACACATGCAACACACACATCAAATATTTATTTATTCATATACAGATGTATATACAGAAATATGCATCTATATACACACATTCCCACTCATTTAAATCTCCTGTTCTAGAACCAAAGAGACATATTTTGTTGTTGTTTTTAAGAACCAGGACTAGTAAAGTGTTTCTCTCATTAGAGAGGAAGATGTTTATTTTAGCCAGAGATACTAAGAATGGGCTTTGTCGGCATAATGATTGCCTGTGTGTCATTTCTTTAAGAACATATTCCTTTCCACAAATGATTAAGATCCTAAAGCCACCAGTTCTGATCAAGGAAATAAATGTTTACCATTAATCATGTTTACTATTTAAAATATAAAAGCAGAAGCCCTGGCCAGTGTGGCTCAGTTGGTTGGAACATCATCGCACACACTGAAGGGTTGCAGATTTGATTCCTGGTCAGGGAACATACCCAGGTTTTGGGTTTGATCCTGTGCTGAGGTGTGTTTGGGAGGCAGCCCATTGATATTTCTCACTTTCTCTCCCTTCCTCTTTCTCTAAAATCAATAAAAAAATATATCCTCAGGTCCGGCCAGTGTGGCTCAGTGGTTGAGCATCGACCCATGAGCTGGGGAGTCGCAGGTTCGGTTCCCAGTCAGGGCACATAACCCAGGTTGCGGCCGGGTCCCCAGTGGGGGACATGCATATACATGGGGGGGGAGGTGGCCAGTCGATATTCTCTCTCATCGATATTGCTATCTCTCTCTCCCTTCCTCTCTCTCTAAGAAAAAAAAAAAGGCGTATCCTCGGGTTAGAATTTATATATATGTATATATGTATATAAAACAACAGGAAAGATTTTGCATATTTCTAGCTAATAAAACATTTTAGAGTCAGATTGCTTAGCATTTTCCAGGCTATCAGGTACATTTAGAAACTGTATTTATTTTTTAGAATGAAGGGGTACCATTTAGCTTGGTGCTTTGTCTGCATTCATAACCTCGGCCCTCAACTTACTATTTAGAGTTATACCAGTTGCAGCCTTGATTGAATTAATACTGCATCTAGAATTGCCTAACTTACATTCAAAGGAAAGCTTAAACCAATGATTTCCATCTGCTTTTATAATACTCCCAGGGAATCTCAGGTTACTTCAAAGAAGATCAGAAATCTTGAATAAAATTAATCTGGATATATAAATCTTATACAAATATGTCAGATATAAATACATACCTATATGACACATTCCTTCTGGAAGAGGCAAGTGCTGGGAAATTAATAGGGTAATTGCATACCAAGATTTCAAAAGGGTAAAATAATCACAAATTATAATCGGTGTCATAAACTAGATTAGAACTAATGATGGAAAATAAAAACCCACTCAGTTCACACAACATCATAAATTTGGATCATGAGAAAGTAAAAAGGTTTGTGATGAATCTAGTTACATGGTTGATTTTTTTTTTTTTCATATCTAAATCATGCTACATGCCTGTCTCTAAGTAGAGAAGCAGTTCATCCTGCATCCCAATAAAATGTTTACTAGACATCCTTGTCACTAATGGAGTCAATACACAATCAATACATTTATTCATAGTATTATGCACACACATAGGTCAGAGGTTAAGAAATATTTTCAGTGCAATGGTAATCAACCAACCCTCCAGTAATTGGGCTTTTCACGGACTCTTTGAGGATCTGTATTAAGAATGGTCCAAGGCACTTTCAATAATGTGACTAGTCACAAAATTCCTTTGTTTAAACAGAATAACCACATCCGTGCCACCAGACTAAGGCAGGGATTAAGAGCCTGTTTCTACATCTGCAAAAGGAAAAAAACAGTGCCCATTCCACAGAGTTGTTGTGAAGATTAAATGAGTTAGTAAGGGGATAGCTCAGTGCCCAGAGTGAATATGAGTAAGTATTTAATATGTGTAAATTCTTGTTATCACTATTATTCACCTTGTCAGAGGTTCCCTGAGCTGGAAGCCACTGCAGAACTCAAGATTACTGATGAATTTTAGTCATGTTAACTATTTTCAATGTACTTTAATTACACAATATTATCTGTGTTAAATGTTCGATATTAAATACAGTGATACCTCGGTTCTCGAACATAATTCGTTCCAGGAGGACGGTCGAGAACCAAATTGTTCGAGAACCGAAGCAATGAAACCCAATAGGAAATAATGGAAACTGGATTAATTCGTTCCAAGCCCCAGAAAATGCCTATTTACTGGCCTAATTTGTATATAATATGTAGAAAAACATAAGTCTCAACAAGAAATAAAAGTGTACAGTATGTCTAAGGGTTAAATTCAGTAAGGGCTCTCACAAGCGTGACTCTCTCTCTGCACTCACACTGATGACGCGAGCAAGGCGCGCTGGGCCGAATGAACGCCATTCGGCTCAACTCGGCTCATCTCGGAAGTTCGAGTTCCAAATATTTGTTCGGATTCCAAGACAAAAGTTTCTCGAATCTCCTGGTCGAATACCGATTTGGTCGAAATCCGAGGCGTTCGAGAACCGAGGTATCACTGTAGCTATAATTCAACTATATCTGCATGTTAGGGTACATATTTGTCCCCCGTACATACTGAGAAGTAAGAGTTGGTGGAAATTACATTAAGCTAGGTGTATGGAAGTGCACTGGAGTCTCTGCCACTAATTACCACGTGGCCTTGGGTGAGTCACTTCACCCACCTGAATACCAGATTTCTTGCTATTGCATAAAGCGTTTGAACTCTATGATCTCCTCTAAGAACAAGAGTATCATGAAGCTGACTTTCCCCTTGATTCTCTGAGTTGCGACCATATCATCTATTTGAAGAAATCAGCCTGTGGGGAATGGGAGAATCCTGACAAGTTTCTTAGACCCAGTTTTTTTCAGAATAGCTCATAACAAAATGTTAGGATGAAATGACATACATAATATGCACATAAACATGACCACACAGCCCTGGCCAGTTTGCTCAGCAGTTAGAGCATTGGCCCACGAACCAGAGTCCTGGGTTCGGTTTCCGCTAATGGCATGTAGCTCAGTTTGTCCCTGGCCCTGGTTGGGGTTGTGTGGTTGGAGGCCATTTAATGTGTCTCTCTCACATTGATGTTTCTCTTTCTCTCTTCCTCCCTTTCTCCCTTCTGCTCTACCTGAAGATAAATGGGGGGGGGGGGGGGGTCCCGGGTGAGGATAAAAAAAAAAAAATGACCTTACCTATCATTTTTATTGGGAAGTTATAGGAAGAGTGTGAATCTAATATATATTGATAAATTTTTAAACTTATCTCAGATTGGATCACAGGGTAGGAATATTTTTTAGTCATTCCCAGAAGTCTCCAGAACCATTTTGAACGTTGGCCTGGAGGCTAATGCTGATCAAGAATGGACACCAGAAATCGCTGTAAGAAGGGAGACAGGCACTTCCTAAAGGAAGAGGAAATTGAAACCATTATGAGATGCCCCAGGGAATCCTTTGAAACCCTTTAAATACATGTCTTGGGCTAAGAGGACTTTATCTTGACTAGATTTCTGACCTGGAGAGTACCTTCAAAGACAAAGAACAACGAGGTCATATGGAGGGAGGGCAAAAAAGAGTAGAAAGAAGAGTGAAGGAAGCCTCAATAAACTGAGACCACTGAGTCCAGCAGAGTTTGAGAAACCATATGAGATTTAAACAGACAGAGGTTTATTTATACCTTTATGATACATTCATGATCTTTTGGGAAGTCGAATGACTTCTCAAACACTTGTTTAAAATGCACATAGTCTAAAGTGCTATCTGCTAAAGCATGTGTTTAAAATGCACATGGTCTGAAGTGCTATCTAAACACATCAACGGCCCTGATTAACCAGTATAAATCCAGAAGGCAGTGGGCATTTGGGTTTTCCACTCAAGCAATTGGAGGCTCTCAGTCACCCCAAGATTCCCCATTGCCTAAACATTTATAAGTTTACAGGGGCAAATATACACAACGAGAGAAGCTTTGAAACACATACATTTGGCCAATCCTTGGAAAATTGTGGGTTTCTCTTGTGGAAGTATCAAAATTTTGCCTCTCCATCCTTTGAGTCATCAGGAAGAAATCAGAGGAAACATGGAGAGCCCATAGCAAGTTAGCATTTCCCACTGAAATTAAACAAATTCCTTTGACTCACCCTTCCAGCCATAGCGCCCTGGCCAACATCTCTGGTTACAAAGAACAGTGCTGGCTTCCAGTAGGAACAGACCAACTGCTAATCCCATTATCGCACCTGATATTGTCCACCACACTGCCATAAAAATATTTTTTCTAGAAACTAATAAAAATCGGTCCTTAAGACAACAGTCTTGTGTTACTCTTAGTAAGAGCTGAGATGTTACAAATTAACATACTGTAAAGCAACTGAATTAAAAATTATGTCCATGCACAGTCTTAACCACCAAAACATACATCTGCTCCTCCAAATATTACGCAACGCTGGATTCTAAATCGGTCTTATTTTATAAAAAGCCCACAGGCATGGATATAAATTCTCAGTGCTCGTGGCTGTGGCCACCCTATGCTATCTTCTCCGTGGAGGTGACAAACGATAATGTATCTATTATTATTTAAGGACACGAGACCATTTTTAGCTTTCACCGAAGGCTTTCCCCAGAACTGCCCGATGATCGCATTCTTCCACCAAAGGTGGATCCTGCGGACTGTGGATCGCGACCATCGCGCCTCTGTCCCCGGCTCTGGGGAAAGCCTGATCCTAGCAAGTGGCCCGAGAGCATCCAGCAGATCCGCCAGCGACGCGGAGGCCGCGCGGTTTCATCATTAATGCTCCTGAAGGACAATAGCTCATCAAGCCCCACCGAAAGCCCTGGACCCGTCTCGGAGCCTGGGCTGGTGGGGGATGAGGCTGAGCAACTCCTCCTAGAGGTGGTTATGTGGAGAAGGAGCAATCCCTTCTCCCTCCTCCTCCTCCCCCCGCTACTATCCGCGGCCCGGAGAACTGCTGCTTGCCGCCATTGACACGCACAGATAGAACCTAAAGAAAGGCAAAGAGTCCTGCCTGGCACCGGCGCCGCGCGGGCCGAAGCTGCGCGCGGGGAGCGGCGCGCAGAGGGCACCGGGCGCCCGGAGCCGGCGGCGCAGCACCAGGTGAGCCCGCCACGGCGATGGCATTATTGTTCGGGGGTCTTCGGGGTCTGGGAACAAAACCGGCCGCGGGAACAGCGCAGGGGCCGGAGAGAACCCCCTGCCTCGCCCCGCCGCCCGGCCCCTGCGGGTGCCCCCGGGATAGTCGACCCTCCCCGCGAAAAGAAAAAAGAAAAATTAATAAATCAAGCTGCCCAACTTGCTCCTCGGAAGGAAGGGGCGACTAAAGAAGCGGTGAAATTCCTGCGGCCGGTGAGGAGCCGGGGGCGTCTCGGGCGAAGAGGGAGGGAGGAGAAGGGATGCGGGGTCCAGCGGTGGGCCCCGGGCCAGGCTGGACGCGGAGGGAGCAGAGGGCTCCTGGGGATGCAGAGTTTGGGGCGCAGAAGGAGGAGGAGGGAGGCGCCCAGCCGCCGACGGGACCGGTACGGAGGCAGCGGGCTGCGCAGGGGCCGAGGGAGCCCGGCAGGGCCGCTCGGGGGCCTCCGAGGGTGCCGGGCTGGGCGCCGCTGCTCCGGGCTGACAATGAAAGGGGCGCGGGGGCGCCGAGCGGAGGGAAGGGCCGGGGCCCGGGGCGAGGACGCGGGGAGCCGCGAGCCCGGGCCGGCGCGGAGGAGGGCTCGGGGCCGGGCACTCCCCTCCGGTTCCCTTTCCGGGGCGCCCGGTGCCGACGCGCGACGCGCTTTCCCCGGGAAATGGCGGCCCCTGCGCGGCTCGCTTGGGCAGCCCCGGGTCCCGGCTTTGCGCGGGAAAAAAATAACAAAAATAAGGAGACGGGGGTTAAAAGTAAAGTGGCTGCGACGCGAGAAAGGGCTGCGCCGGGCGCCAGTCGCGATGCGAATCGCGTGCGGGGCGCGGCGGGCGGGGCGGCCCTGCCTCCCCGGGCTCCCAGCCCGCTCTCCAGGAGCACCCTAGTTCCAGCCGCGCCCGCCTCCTGAATCGCGCCCGCGGGTGTCTTTCCCCGCCTCTCCTCGTGGGGGCGCCCTCCGCTCCTGCCCTCTTTGTTCCACACAACAATGGCCAAAAGGGCATTGAGCCCCCACAGCCAAATGCGCCTCCCCCAGCAGTTTCCAGTCGCTGACACGGCCCCCACGGGCTTGACTGGGGCCCGCGCACTGCCGGGCTTATTGGGAACAGCTAATAAAAGGGCGGCAGGAAATGGGCTGAGAAACCAGAGCGCGGGTCCACGTGTGTTCGGGGCTGCAGCGGGGCCAGGCAGTTCTGGTGTCCACGGCCCTGGCAAACCGAGGTATCTACCAGCCCAGGGGAGTTCAAAACGGGCCCCAGGCCTACCCCCAGAGCTCAGGAGCCCATCCCCTTAGGGCAGTCAACCCACCAAAGCAACCGGTTCCTCGCTTTTCTCATTTGTGTTTGTGTGGAAATGCAGTGGGCCCTCGCTGGGCTGCACAGTTGGTGAGATTAAAGAAACATTCTTAAGAGCGGAAATGTGTCTTCGTCTATGTTGTCTCTTATCTAGAACCAGTTCCTTTGTAAAACACAAACTAAACTACTCAATTCTCAATTTGTTCATGTTTAACTGAAAGTTACCTCTTACCCCTCTGGAAAACTCTTGCTATTTTCAAACAGTATTCAGAGAGCATGATGTGCAACCACGCTCATTGATTTTTAGAAATGCTTTAGCCCAAGATTACTAAATAAATAAATAAATAAATAAATAAATAAATAAATAAATAAATAAGCTGCCTGGAGGAAAATTATATTGAACCCTGTAATTCACACCTTTAAAAATCTCTCTCTAAACTTCCTTTCAAAATATGCCCAATTCTCCACTCCAGTTTTTCCTACCTTGTCACAGTTCCTCCTCACCTGGATCCATTTATTGCCATTCTTTAGACATTATTAATAGTTTCCTCTACTTCAAAACTCTACAAAAGAATTTATTTTTTGGGATCCAGAATGTTTCAAAGATTCTGACCTTACTGCCTCATCGTTCTATCTTCTGTCGAGTTCCCAGGAATTCTAAGGCGCCTTCAGTCTGCTCTGGCCCAGTGGGTGGGACACCCTGCTAGCTATTGTCTGAGACAGCCAGGTCTGTTTTCACAGCCTCCTGCCAGCAGAGCAGGAGGGAATCCTGTCTTAGGCAGCTTTCAATGAAGGATGTCTGTAACTTGTTCAGGGGGAGGGATGTGCAAAAATCCAACCAACTTTCTTAAGAATGTTTTTCATTTTTAAGAAATAACCTCAAAGTTCGATGCAGTCTTGGTAAACACTTTTTGCAAAGTGATTGCACAGAGATGAGCAAGGAACTTGTGGTTTGAGATCCTTAAACAAGTATTTATTGAACACCAATTATTAAACACCTCTGAATGAGGGAAAATATGCAAATATACGGTTGTCGTGGGTCTGCTCTCAGAGGGTTTTCAACCCTGAACCTGGGAGATAAAATATATATGCAGGTAAAACAAGGTAAAAAGTTATTAATATTGGCAAGCTAGTGAGAAAACGGGTACTTTTATATACTGCCGACAGTTGCGTTCATTGATACAGCTAATTTGAAGGGCAGTTTGGCACTATGAAAATTAATAATGTGCACATTCCGTGACCCAGCAATTTCATTTCTTGGTATGTACCCTAGAGAAGCAGGCACACGTGTGCACAGATTATGTAATTCCCTTTCATTGCAGCATTTTGGTAATTCTGAAGTTGAAAACATCTAATGGTCATCAATAGGGAATGGCTGGGTAAACCGGTACATTTATGTTCTGGAAAATTAGGCAGCAGTTAAAAAGAATGAAGTCAGTCTATCTATATCGAGACAGAAAGATCACCAAGACATGGAGAATTAATGAAAAAACACATTGCTGAACTATATACACTGTATGGTACCATTTTAAAAGCAAAGTAAAACTGCATTTCTGTAGTAAAAATGGACAAGGGAGTGTACAGAGCACCCACTAAGAATCAAGAATCAGAGGCGTTTAGTCCTATCATGATTCACATCCATCCATAACCATGGTTATAATATCTGAAATTTGAGTTAATTTATAAGTTGAGGGGATAACAAAATACAGTTAACAATTTAAGAGTGACTGACAATGTGTAATAAAAGTCACAGGTCAAATGCTCCAACAGTTTTTAAAGGGAGGAGGAGAATTCCGGGCTGCAGGGGAGAGCTTGCACCCTTCCCAGAGAGTGCAGTGGGGTTTGGAGGGAGAAGGGGAAAGGGTAGGTGAAAGGAAGCCTGATGCAGACTCCGAGCTCTGGCTTGTTCCTCTTTCTTCAACCGGTTTATGTAAATTCCCTTGCAAGGCCGATTTCTGATCTGCCAAGGTTCAGACTGAGGCGTGAACTAAATGAGCAGTTCACAATTTCTCTCATTGCTATGATTCTCTGAATGTCTTAAATTAGATTGAGAAGAGGAAAAATGAGCCAGCAGAGGATATGAATTCTAACAATGGTGTTGGAAGGAGGTGATTTTTAAAAAGGGAAGTAGTGAAAATTTGAGGGTGGGAATTTTTTTCTCCTACATGCACACTGAGATGTATATTGGAAATCAAGCTGGAGAGAAAGATCAGTGTTGAGAAGATTGATTCATTTTTCTTTAAAAAAAAATTCAGAAGGAACCTGAAACTGCTTTTGAAACAAATATTTAAGGCTGGTTTCATTTATTCACTCACTCTCTTAAGGAATATTTACTGAATGTTGATTGTATACATAACGCTATGCAGGTGCCGTGGGGGAGTGGAGCCTGCAACAGAGTATAGGAAAAACAGCCCAGACCTGAGGTGCTGGTTCTAGATCCGATCTCACATAGACTGTGTGGCCATTGACAAGTCCTTTAATGACCAGCGCCCCTCCTGTGCCACACGGGCTAAAATTTGGAGGGGGAACTAAACTGACTGATCCCTCAAATTCCTTTCAATATTAGATTATGGTTTTGTGAACTCCTAGCATTCTAACATCTCGATGATTGTGAATTCCCAGGCGATGGAATTTGAGGAATATAGGATTAGATGAGGAAGGGCCCAAAAGTGCTCAGCCTTGGGAAAAACAGAAAGATTTGCTGTCATGAAGGTTCTCAGTAGATTATGTGTCTCTTAGTTATCCCAGGGTTAAAATTTCATTGGTACCCCTTTACCCCACTACCTAATATCGATGGTGTAGAAAGGTGTTGCTGAGTTTTAAGTTTCATGTTATACACACACTGTCAAGCACTGTAGTATCACAGTACAGTTGACCTTTATTTGAACTGCGGGGGTCCACTTATTTGTGGATTTTTTTCAATAAATATGGTCAACGTATTTTCTCTTCTTTTGACATAAGAACGTCCAAATCTGTAGAGAATTTTTTTTCACGTTTATTTGAGCCAGAGGACACGCCTGGAAGCAAGATATCAACTGACTAAATCGCATTCCTTACGATTTTCTTAATAACATTTTCTTTTCTCTAGCTCACTCTATTGTAAGAATATAGTATTACTACATATAGCATACAAAACGTGTTAATTGACTGTTCTTGTTATCAGTAAGGCTTCTGGTCAACAGTAGGCTATTAGTATTTATGCTTTGGGGGAGCAGACATTATAGATGATTTTCTATTGTGCTAGGAGGTCAGCATCCTAACCCTGGAGTTCAAGGGTCAACTGTAGTGGCTTTTGAACCAGAGGGACAATGTTAGCATTCCATAAAAATAATCCTCTAAAACTTTCTTTTGTGGATATAGTCATAATAACCAATGTTTATTAAATGCCTGCTACCTGCCAGGTACTGTTCCAAGCACTTATATGTATTCACCTATTTAATTCTTATTAAATGTATTAATTAAGATACTTATTAAATAATACCTAGTCTATAGGTATATACTATTATACCCATTTTACAGAAAAGAGAATAAGGACATGCCCAAGGTCACCCACCATACAACCGGGGGCTGGGGGGGTAGAGTTAGGACTCCAGCCCAGACAGCCTTACTTCTCAGCCCTGTATCCTTCCTTCCATGTGGTGAGAACAAGAAGCTGCCAACATTCCAGTGACTCTCAGATTCGG